AGGTCAGGTCGTGTGCAGGTCATCAGGTACATGAGGCAGCCAACAAGCTCTGGGTACAGGCCACTCGGCTCTACGGACTCATCCGAAGGCAGAGCTGAGAGCGAGTGGCGAGTAGACAGAGGAGTGGCCTGAGGCAAGGAGTACTGAAAGTCGAAGCGCTGAAGGACCTGTTGCACCATGTGTGACTGAGTCAGGGTAATGGTGCACTGTGCTCTGTCCCGGGTGATCTGCAAGCCAAGGTAGCTGCGTAGTTCACCCAGGTCTGTGCACGTGTGTCTCTTCTGCAGCTCGGACTTCACGTGGGCTAGTCCAGCAGTATCAGCAGTGGCAAAGACCAAGTCGTCGACGTACACGAGGATGTAGAACGGCGGCAAAGAGGTGTCGGTGCGTAGAAACATCGACGGGTCGGCAGTAGAAGGAGCAAACCCAAGAGCCGCAAGTGTAGTCCTCAGTGTGTCGTGCCACTCACGGGGCGCCTGGCGGAGACCGTAGACTGGCCGCCGGAGGCTCCACTGGGTACCAGGGGGAAAGACCCAGTGAAGCCAGGTGGGCGGCGCAGCCAGATCTCCTCGTGTAGGCTGCCCTGCAGGAAAGCTATGCTGAAGTCAAGAGAGTGAAGCTCGTAGTCGCGCTGAGCGGCTATGTGCAGCAGCACCCGAAGAGTGGTCATCTTCGAGATGGGAGAGAAGGTCTGAAAGTAGTCAACTCCCTGCCGCTGACTGAAGCATCGAGCCACGTAACGCGCCTTGAAGACAGGCGGAGAACCCGGCGGCCGCTTCACCCTGAAAATCCACATGCCACTGACGATGTTCGCCCCTGGTGGGGGAACGTCGTCAACGTAGGTGCTTGTGGACTTCCAGGAAGCCATCTCTACGTCCATGGGTGAGTGCCACTGTGAGGAGTAGGGACCCTCGATCGCCTTAGCGTACGATCGAGGAGTCAGGATGTCTGGTGCATTTGTGTCTCCCTTAGGGGCAATCAGCGTGGACACAAGATGAGGCAAAGTAGCAGCAAAACACTGGAACTCCTCCTGCTTGTCCTGAAAGGACGTCCGTGCTAAGAGCACACTCACCCCCGACGGACGGAGGATAGACAGAATCAGACTCAGCAACAAGACTAGCAGCGTAGTCTAGACGACAGCGAGCAGCAAAGTCGAAAAGCTCAGCAACTAAGGCAGACGCAACAGTGGACTCAAAGGAAGGGTCGGTGACAACAGTAGCCAGGAGACGTGTGACAGTAGGACTGGCAGCACGAAGAGAGTCAGGCTCCGGGTCAGCAAGGACAGGAAGAGAGGACTCTGGAGGAGACGGCAAAGGGACACGGAGAGGAGCAGTGGAAGGACGTAGTGCCATCTGGTGTGTGCCTGGGACCGCAGGAGGACGCGGATGCGGTGCACGACTACTAGTGCGAGCAGCACGAACAGGCGACGCAGGACGAGACGCAGGCTCACGATGCTCAGCGAGACCTCCAGTAGGACCAGTGTAGGGAGAAGGAGCAGGTAGAGGGGAGGCGGGCTGTAACTGTGACCGCGTCTGGACAGGCTGTGGACACTCTAAGGGAGGAGCAGGGCCAGTAGAGGAAGAGCTGGAGGTCATCGACCCCGACCTCAAAGTCAACACCACGACCCTCAGCATCAAAGGTAAGAACACTGGGGGTAGCCATGACAGCAGTGGTCTAGCAGGGAGTGCTGTCACCACTCCGGGTGGGTTGGGCCGGTGCCCGCCGGTAGGAACAGTAGCGGCTCGACGGCGGCTCAGCGGCTCGGTTGCTAGGCGGCTCGGCTGCTGGTCGGCTCGGCTGCTGGGCGGCTCGGGTGTTGGGCGGCTCAAATGCTGGGCGGCTCGGCTGCTGGGCCGCTCGGCTGCTGGGCGGCTCGCCGGTTCGGCTGCTGGGCGGCTCGGCTGCTGGGCGGCTCGGCTGCTGGGCGGCCGTGAAGGGCGGCGATGGGGCCGCTAGAGGCGGCGACGGGGCCGCGAAGGGCGGCGACGGGGCCGCGGAGGGTGGCGACGGGGCCGCGGAGGGCGGCGACGGGGCCGCTAGGAGCGGCAAAGGGGCCGCTAGGGGCGGCGATGGGGCCGATAGGGGCGGCGACGGGGCCGATAGGGGCGCGACAGGACCGCTAGGGGCGGCGAAGGGTGGCGGCGGGGCTGCTAGGGGCGGCGATGAGGCTGCGAAGGGGCCGCGAGGGGCCTAGAGGGGGCGGCGACGGGGCCGCGAAGGGGCCGCGAGGGGCCTAGAGGGGCGGCGACGAGGCTGCAAAGGACGGCGACGGGGCTGTAAGGGGTGGCGACGGGGCCCCTAAGGGTGGTGCGAGGGGCCGTGAGAGGTGATGTGAGGGCGGCCAATGGGGCGCGCCTCGGGCAGGGGCGACTCGCGCTCCGGTCAGGAAAAAAAAAGTCGATTTCAGTGGTGGGCCCTGAGAAGCGTTCCCACTAGGGAACTTGCTCTATACCATGCGAGGAAATGAGGAATGAATGAACTAGCAAGCAGGTGGGTACAAGTAGGAAAACCTAAAAGTGTTGTACCCCATATTGTCTACCCCACTACAGCCTACGCAGACTATAGCATATGAGTTCGACAGCTTCGACTTTTCAGCATCGGGCCCGCTCAATGCCTCAGCTAGCGTCTTGGGCTCAAGGACGGCTGGCTAGTAGCAGTGTGCTATCTCTTCCTCATCACACTGCTCAACCACACTCTCAGCCCTTACCACCTTTGGCTTGCCAAAGCTCGGATAGGTCAGCCGGTTAGGAAGGCGCACATCCCTCCTAGGACGGTCAGCCGGACGTGCGGCACCTTGTGGAGCACCTTGCTGCTGCTGCTGCAACTGCTGCTGCTGCTGCAACTGCTGCTGGTGCTGCGGCTGCTGCTGCTGCTCCTCCACCTCAGGTTCTCCCCCATCCTCAGTCACCCCAGAGATCTTATTCTTAGAGACAGAAACCTCCACTTGCCTCGAAGGCTGCTGCACCTCATCGGCCTCGACAATCAGGGGTGTTGTAGGAAGCTTCTGCTGCTGCGGTTTCCACTCCTTGTAGTACAAGGACTCGATGAACTTCACATCCCTCGACACAGTCAGCTATTGGCTGGTGAAGTCCCATAGCAGCCAGCCCTTGTGGTCCTTTGCAAGCCCTAAGTGCACACCCCATCTCCCAAAAGCTTCCAACTTTCCCCTCTTCTCTTTCGGCACATGAAACACCACCATGCAACCATAGGCTCTCAGCATGTTGACTCCTGGTGCACTCCCATACCACTAAGTGCTTGTTCCCCACAGTCGCCAGCACCCTGTTCTTCACAAGGGCAACCTGCCGCAGCGGAGTCACCCAAAACGGATCTAACAACCCTGCACGCCCAAGGAAAGTGCGAGCACCTTCCTGCAGGTTGAACCGCTCAACACGCCATTCTGCTGAGGGTTGTAGGGCACCGTGAGCTGATGTAGGGCTCCCGTGTACCCTTCCAAACCGCCACGTCAGCCCCAACCCTCACATCCCGCCACGTCACACCCTCCTCCATCCGGGACGTCCACTAACAACCAGCCCCACGTGCCACGTCACACCCACCCACCCCATGCCACGTCACCCCCCACCTGCCTAACACACGTCGCCTCGTCACGCGCCGCTCCCGTGTACCCTTCCAAGCCGCCATGTCACACGCTCACCTCACATCCCGCCACGTCACACCACCCTGCATCCGCCACGTCCACCAACAACCAGCCCCACGTGCCACGTCACACCCACCCACCCCATGTCACCTCACCTCCCACCCACCTGACACGCGTCGCCTCGTCATGCTCCCGTGTACCCTTCCAAGCCGACACGTCTACCCCAACCCTTACATTCCACCACGCCACACCCTCCTCCATCCGTGACGTCCACTGACAAGCAGCCCCGGTTGCCACGTCACACCCACCCACCCCATGCCACGTCACCCCCCACCCACCTGACACGCGTCGCCTCGTCACGCGCCGCTCCCGTATACCCTTCCAAACCGCCACGTCAGCCCCAACCCCGTCCTGGTTGCCACGTCAACCCCATCCCGCCCCATTTCGCCCGCCACATACCGGGAATGGGTTTGTCTCCTGCAATACTAGCACTCGTGCCTTGTCCACGGCACTCAACGGCGGTGAGGTACCAGCCATAGGCACGGCTGCCGACCCGCCGGCATAGCTGGCAGGTACTCCACGACGCAGGCCGAGCTGTGCAAACATGGCGTACATCTCAGACCGCAGCGCCTGGAATTCCTACCATGTAACAAACTGCTCGTGCTCCGCACTTTCACCTAGGGCACCCATGAGCGGTGGAAAAGGGTGTGAAGAATCCCCCCTCTGGCCAAGGGGATCAACATCTTCTGCAGAAGTCCCGTGTGCCCTCACACTCTTGCGCTGGCGGGAAAAGGGGAGCTCACGGAAGAGATTGGCATATGTGCCTGGCTAATGCCTGCGCGAAGGACCGGCGAGGGGGGAGACCGCCCTACCCCTGACATGAGAAGCGTGGAGTTGCCGAAATGGGTACGAGGGTGAGGCGAGTGCGGAGTGCGTGACGGGGGCTGGTGGAGGGGATTCGGATTCCTCTCCTCTTGGCATGTCGGGTGCCGTCGCAGCGACTTTGCTCGGGCCGGAGTATGGCATGTAGAACCTTGGTGCTCCTGTGGATAGTAGTGTAACACTCACTCTTCCGACAGCCTTCGTTAGCTGCATCCGTTGCACGCTTACCGATGGCCCAATGCCTGTAGCACGAGGGGCTGAGATGTAGAGGGAGTAGGATAAAGAAATCAGAGTCGATTGGTTTCAATACTGGGCCAGACATGCATGCATAAGATCAACGGTTTGAATCTAAATTGGGTTAAGGGTTGTATTGTTTTGAGACAAGAGGCTTTACCTTGCTTGGCAGCTTCGTCGACCTTCTCCTTCCCTGTAGGGGAGAAGCAATGTGGAAAAACGGTGTTATTTGGCATGGTTGAGCAGAGAGTACAACAACCACACTAGTTGTATTGGCCACGGTCGGTGCTCACCTTTCTGCTGTCCCTTCGGTTTTTTTTGCAGCATGCGCCTTCTCGTTGCCACCTTTCCGCGGGGTGCTTTGGTGGACGCTGCGACGTTTACCGGCAGGTTTTTTCTTGCCGATACCCACTGGAACCCCTTTGGCGCGGCCACCCTTTCCTCCTCCATCCCCTTTTGCTCCTTGGCTCCCTTGCTTTTTACCACACCCTTCACTTTCGACCTTCACCTTACGCGCCTTTGGCTTGCCCGCTGCTTCGCTGCGCGCGGCGTCAACTGCCCCGCGTTTTTGGGAATGGCGAGTCCGGCCCCCCACCTTCCCTGTACCACTCACCCGTCTGCCACGCCCGCCCCGTCCCTTCACTGCCGCCACCTCCTCCTCCTCCTCCTCCTCCTCCTCCTCCTCCTCCTCCTCCTCCTCCTCCTCCTCCTCCTTCTCCTCCTCCTCCTCCTCCTCCTCCTCCTCCTCCTCCTCCTCCTCCTCCTCCTCCTCCTCCTCCTCCTCCTCCTCCTCCTCTTGTCGCCGCCCTCCTCATCGTCGTCCTCCTCCTCCTCCTCTTCGTCCTCCCCGCCATCATCTCATCTTTTTCATCCTCCCCAACATCTACGTCATCCTCCTCTGCATCCTCTTCCTCCTCCTCTTCCTCCGCATCCTCCTCCTCATCCTCCTCCTCCTCCTCCGCATCACCAGGGTCTTCATCGCCCCGTTTCAGCCTCGTCCCCGTCGTTACTTTCTTGCCCCTCCTTTCGCATGATGGTTTTCTTGCTGCGGGTCGGCCCTTCTGGCGCAATGCATGACCGCCCGCCTTGCCGAGTGCTTCCCTGGTGCCTCTCGTTGTCCCAACTTCTGTCGTGTCGTCTGCCGCCTCTTTGCCCGCGTGGTGATGTCCCCGGGCATGGTGGTGTCATAATCGTCCTCCCCATCGCTCTTCCTCTGCCTACGCCTTCCCCGTCCACCAGAAGGAGGAGAGCCAACAATGTTGGCGATGCTGTGGTTAGGATCCTCCATCGACTCGTGCTCCCCCACCTTGTCCTTATCCAGCACGGCTGCAGAAACTTCGACCACGGTCGGCTGGAGCAGCGTCAGATGGTGTTGCGATGCCTCCGCCTCAGACTCCTTGGTTGCAGCATGCTCAGCACGGGAATCGCTTCCGTGGTTTCCCCCTGTCGCCGATCCCTCCCTCTCCGCCGACGGGACTGCAAGACTCGCGCTCCCTCGCGCCGGATCTTCGTTGCCGCCAGTGGTGCCATCGTTACTCGTACCGAGCTTGGTTCCAGCAAAGGCAACATCCGCATCTTTGTTCACAGTAGAAAAACGCTTGTGTGGCGTTGGTTGCTTCCCCTTGTCTTCCTTCTTCTTGCCGGACTTCTCTTGACCGCGCTCGACCTTATTTGCCGCCACTTTTTCCAGCCCAATGCCACGCGCGACGGACGCATTAGTTTTTTTAGCGTCGCCACCACTCTCCCTATCGATCTGTTTAGACATCCTCCTTGTCGCGCGGCGCCCAACCTGTTCCTCCTCCATTGCTTGTTGACGTGTTGCACGTATCATGGTTGTTGTAGGAATGCAAATTTCTATCGCGCGTAACGGTTGAGCCGGTTTCGAAGGGGTACCGCAACTGAATCCCATGAAGGGATTATCGACGGTCTATCACTGTTATCTTTCTCCGAAAACCGCCGCTTCAACTAATACTGAAATAGTAGCCACTAAGCATAGAGCTACGGCCCATGACTTTGTATACTGGTGAGTCACGGGCGATCTGGACACGCATGTGTCAAACCGCGAGCAACGTCAAAGTGTTGGCCCAGAGGGTGACGGGAGCAGGTGGGTGGGGCACGAGGGTGGTTGGGGTGGGTTGGGCAACTAGAGAGATTACAGTAACCCTATCAGGCTATATCGTGACGGTGTACGTGTAGCCACCCGATCATAAAATCACCTACCGCTCAATCTCAGCCGCTCAATGGCGGAAGTACCCCTTGGCTGGTGCTTGTGTTGTGGGGGGAATCGTTTGAGATGCGTCGGCCAATCACGGTTGCCAACGCATCAATCACTACACAGGGTAGAACGGTTTTGGCCCCAAAAGTGCGAACTTAACCTAATCCCTGCAAAGTACAGTGTTGTTGCGAACGCACAGTGTTGCACATAAGAGCTAAATAAAATTCAAACATACAACAAAAAAATCATCATATACTTAGTTGCTAATGGTTTGATATGGGGTTGTGGTAAGGTAGCCGGTTTGTCTCATGTCACACACATAACGAGCATCCAGAAGTATTACTTGTGACAGATGTATTGTCCACTTGTAGGCTTTGCCACAACAGTTTATCGCCATTGGACGATATTCTAACACGATGATCAATAGCAACAAACGAGAAACCGTTGTGGTATGGTGTTGGATTGTCATCCATTCTTGCACGGACATTCAATAAGCACAGGCCCAACGTACAAGCGGCGGTGCGTTATTGACAGCCATGTTTAGACAGTGTGACGTTGCAGCGTTCGGGCCTGTGCGTTGCGCGACATGGTGAATCCGTTGTGGTATGATGTTGGATTGTCATCTATTCTTGTACGGACATTCAACAAGATGCTTAGAAGGAGTGGTATGAAGCAAAGGCCCAACGCACAAGCGGCGATGCGTTATCAACGGCCATGTTTAGACAGTGCGACGTTGCAGCGTTCGGGCCTGTGTGTTGTGCGACATGGTGAATCCGTTGTGGTATGGTGTTGGATTGTTATCCATTCTTGCACTGATATTCAACAAGATGCTTAGAAGGAGTGGTATGAAGCACAGGCCTAACGCACTAGCGGCGATGCGTTATCGAGATCCATGTTTAGACAGTGCGACATTGCAGCGTTCGGGCCTGTGTGTTGCACCACATGGTGAATCCGTTATGGCATGGTGTTAGATCGGGCTCCATTCTTGCATCCGACGTTACAACCATTGTGTTATTGCACAACATTGTCATCCATTCTTGCATATTCATTCAGCACAGTGCGTAGAGGTACACTAAACCTCGTGAGAACTGACGATATACATATGCAGTACACGCAACAATCATACGTTAGGGCACTCCATTCTTGGGTACTTCCCGTATGTTTCCTGACCACACTAGAGAACTTGGAGGGTTTTTAAACTATATTGTTCTCAAGTAGGGGTTGTTCTTGAGGAGGCCTTAGGATATGATTGTTTAATAGTGATCAATGACTTGAGTGTCTAGTCAAAATGTAACTGTTCATTGCCTTTTCCTAGTTTGTATGAAGCCTCTAGAGGTGCGTACCACTTTGAGCTCACCTACATGATTGCGATTTCCCCCCTATAACGATTCACGACAGAATCACAGATCCAAACGGATCTCTTCCTGCTCTTTCTCATCCCCCTCGACTCTCACGCACGGTTAAAATAAAACAGTTCTTGAGTCAATAGGCGCGTCCTTCTTATCTTGCTCGCGACGCACACACACGACCAGCCGTCTTAAGATCCAGTGCATTCTCCTCTGCTCACGTCGTGGTCACTCTTAACGGGGGCGACACGCCTTGTAGGGACGACAACCCGTGCTGTGGGCAGTTTGAATCGTGCCTTGTCATGACCACGCGGCTCGACCATCGTTAGCCAGTCCCAAACATTAGCGCCAACCGTAAGTGCCAGTCGTGCAGTGACACAAGCCGCCATGGACAGTGCGCGCTTTGGCGATAACCGTGTTGCAGTCACAGCCTTATTGAACGGTGCACTTAATGTGTTCACAAGCTTCAAACAGGTTAGTTGCTTCATAGACCATTTCTGGACTCTTAGATGGGTCCGTAGCACATAGGCTCTTTGCTAGGCGTCATCTGCGAGTTCTGCAATTGATGGTTCCCCAGCGCCCAAGTTTATGGCGGTCATAAGTCACGGCGGACCCCTTGCCAAGGGCTTTCCGCCTTGGCAAGGCCCACGCGATTTGCACCGTCTGCTGGTCTACACACTCTGCTATTCGTCCACGACATTCTGTCGGACGCTCCAGCCGCTCCCGCTTCACCTACAGCGTCTAACGCATCCAACGCCGTCAGTGTGAGCGGTCCTCCACGCGTGCCTGAAGCTCACGTTGATGAAACTCCCTCGGCTATGAACGAGGGGCCTCTTGAAGATGAACATCAACCACAACCAGGAACTCCTACGGCTGACACGAGTGACCATCCTGAGAGCCGGCCTGAAGGGAGTCATGTCGCGCCGCCAACAATCATCTCCGGACAGAGCAATGCGCCGCTCAATCCGCTCGCATTGAAGCTGCTGCAATTCGTTTGGCGCGTGAATGGCAGAATGGGAATGGCCAAGGTTGACATCAACGGCCTGCTTCAGCTCGTAATAGAGCCCGGCCTTGCGCCTCTTGTGACCTCGGAGCTCCGGAACTGTAAGGATCTGGAGCGGTTCGAGATGGAGCGCTTGGCAGGGCTCAATCGCGGATGGTCGGTGGCAACCTTTGAGATTGCTGGTCATCCACCACAGCGATTGCTCTTCCAAAACTCAGCCCAGGTAAGCCGACTCTGAATTCAAGCCCATGAAATGCTGATGAGGCAAACAGGGTTTGCGTGTACGTAGTTATCCTTGTATTAACCGTACACTCACCTTCACCGCCACTAACCATGCCCCTCCCCTCACCTGCCATCGCCACCGTACACCAGGCATTCGCTGAAATGTTTGGGCATCCCAACATCACGCCCGGCTTCAAGCTCAAGGCGTGTGTTGATGAGGACCCTGACACAGGCGACCGTCGCTATACTACGCCTGAAATAGGAACGTGGTGGAATGATGCTCAGGTAAGGAAATACCACGTTGCCACCCCAAACCCAATCCTTGCTCATTCCTCCATTGCTGCGCCGATGTGTCTGGAGCATCTTGAGTGTTTGACCGTGTGTCCGTTGCCGCTTTGTCGTGCATTGCAGGAACACTTCAGATGGTCCAAAGTTGTGGGGGGGATCATCCTATATTCTGATGTGACGCACATGAGCAACAACGGCCGGAAGAAGGCGTGGCCGCTCATGATGACGCTGGCCAACATCTCCCAGGCCAAGCGATGGGGGAAGGCAGGGCACACACTACTTGCCCTCATTCGTATCCCCCCGTCTACAATGTCTGCAGTGAAGAAGGTGATGCTCTTCCGGCATTGCGACATCACCGTGCTGCAACCGCTTCTTGATGGCATGAAAAGGTCCGTACTCGATTTGAATCTTGCTATGTCATCATCTCCCCACGTGCAGAGTATGCAAAGCATCTCTGTATGTAGCATGCCCCTTTGCCCCTCGTCATTACTCCCTAAAAGCCGTCCTCCGAATTCCTGTTGCCACTCTACGTGTTCCTTGCAGCGGGTTCCGTCTCAGGGACACTTCCAGTGATTGGCAAACCGTGCGGCCCTTGCTGTACGCCTGGGTGTACGACTGCCCCGAGAGCGACCAGATCAGTTGGATCGCGGGTGCCGTGCTGGGGAGATAACTGCTGCAACGGAAGCTAGGCTATGGGCTAGGCACGTGTGCTTGTGTGATCTCTGCGTTCATTCACTTAGTCGTTTCCTTGTGTTCACGCTGCTTGCTAGTTCACGGGGAGAAATGGCAAGAGTTTCACTAGGAAAACATGACAACAATGATAGCAACAACATTGGCATCACAGACTACATCAGTGCTAGCTAGGCTGCTGGTCGACCTCCAGCACAACACGGTCGACCGCACTCCAGCGCAGCAGTGCTCGCACCGCTCCAGCGTTGCAGAGTAGCGGTTCGCCAACGTTGCAAGTCCACGGTGTGCTAGTGCTGCAGCAAGTCGGCTGCCTAGCGTTGCACCCGCAGGACAATTGTGCACCTGCTTCACAGGTGCGCGCAGCTGGTTGGTGCGCACTTCCGTGTCACGTGCACAGCGCAGACGCCTGACAGACTCCACGCCAGTGACTGTGCCCACCAGCCACGTCGACCTCGGGATGCCACCCTCGAGGTCGGCCTCGCAGACTCCACCCTGGCGACACTCGCGCACGTCACCCGGGTATTCCGGTCGACCGGGCAACCACGCCTGGCCGACCAGCGCAGTCCGTAGTCGGCCACGGATGCCCGGCGTCCCCAGTCCGGCGCCCAGACCCCCAAGACGCCGAGCAAACCTCCAGAGCGGCGTCCCTCCTTCCAGGACGCCGACCAGATGCCCAGGTCGGTGTCTGGGCCCCCCGGGACGCCCAGGTCGGCGTCCGGACCCCTAGAACGCCGTGCAGGCGCCCACGACGTCGACCAGGCGCCGGGGTAATCGTGGCGACGCCCAGCTCGGCGTCTAGCTTCCCAGGACGCCGTCCAGGCGTCCGGGACGCCAACCAGGCGTCCAGGGTGGCGTCCTCCTGCTCGGCGCCCTACAGCCAGGCGCCCTCCAGCTTGGCGCCCTTGCAGTGGCCCCGTGCCCACTGCTGTGGGTCAGCTGCAGCCCCCGAACATCCGACCACAAGGTTGGCTCCGCCCAAGCGAGGACGGGGCCTTACAACG